GACAGGAGCAGAGGTGAGGCGTCGTTTTAGTTCTTCGAACGAGTCCTCCTGTTCAGGGCCCCACAGCCACCGAGCGTTCTTCTTCAACAGTTGTCGCATCGGGGCGGTTACTTGGGCAAACCTGTCCACGAAACGACGGTACCAGGACGCGAGACCGAGAAAGCTTCGAAGGGTTTTGCCGTTCGTAGGTCGTGGGAACTCGTCGATAGCACGGACCTTCTCTGGGTCGGTCGATATCCCCTCGTTGTTGACGACGTGTCCGAGATATCTGAGCTCCTTTTTGCAGAAGTTACACTTCTCTGGGTTTAAACGTAGGCCAGCCTTTCTAAGGCGTTCGAAGACCACCCGGAGGATCTGCAAGTGCTCAGTAAACGTGGCGGACACCACAACGAGGTCGTCGAGGTAGGCGAACACCTTCGGCTCAAGCTCCGGACCGATGACCTTGTCCAGGAGGCGTTGAAAGGTCGCTCCGGCGGAATGGAGTCCGAAGGGCATTACCGTAAACTGGAATAGGCCTAACCCGGGTACGGTGAACGCGGTGATCGGTCGGCTTTCCTTCGCTAACGGCACCTGCCAATAGCCTTGTTTTAAGTCCAGTGTGCTGATGTACCTCGCCGGCCGTAGTTTCTCCAGAATCGCGTTGATTCTGGGCAGCGGATACGCGTCGGGGACAGAGCACTCGTTGACTTTACGCATATCGATGCAAAACCGAAACTTTCCGTTGCTCTTCCTCGTCAGCACGACTGGCGAACTCCAAGGGCTATCCGATGGTTCGATAACACCATCGCGGAGCATCGTCGCCACCTCTTCGTCGATGATAGCTTGCATCGCGGGATTCCTGGGATAATACCGTTGCTTAACGGGAGCGGCGTTTTCTTTGAGCCGTATCGTGTGCTCAGCCAACGCCGTCTTCCCCGAAACGTCGTCAAACAGTGGTAGTTCGCGTTCCAGGAATTCTGTGAGTCTCGCGTCTTCTTCGGAGGTCAAATTTTCGAGGGCGTTTACTGGATAGGACGGGGGAACGTCGTCGTTGCGGAGGTTTCGTACAGCGGTGTGTACACTGACAAGAGCGAGGTCAGTAATACACCGAATGCCGAGTACCACCTCCACACTCAGGTTCGGGACATGTAGGGCATCCCACGAATACGTCTGGCCCGCGATTTCACCATCCACTCTGTATCGATCCGAGACACGGCAACTCGCTCCGTTGGCCATACGTAGGTTGACGTCAGCCTGGTCGGGTACGCTGCCGCACGCCCGAAGGTGACGTACGGCGCGATCTCCAATCAGACTGACCGACGAGCCGGTATCGACGAGGGCGCTGAACGTCACACCTGAGATGACCACGTCGACGAAGGGTCGGTCATCTCTGGGGGCGCGTTCGCGGCTGACGGTTCCAGTGAATTCCGTTATGAAGCCGAGCCAGCGATTCCACTCCTCGGAGGTCGTACGGCGTTTCGTTCTACGGGGCTCAGGCGACCTCCCGCAGACTGAACCCGATGGCCGTTTCCCGAGACGCAGTTGCACCGACGCGTGGAGATACCTACCCTCTTGCAGTGGTAGCAACGCAGGACCTTGGGCTTCGGACACTCGCGAAACATATGTCCGGTTTCGTCGCAGTTCCAGCACACGAATTGCCGTGAGTTTGCCGATCGTTGGTCCGGCGATACTGGGTGATCTGGTCTTCGTGGAGTCGGGCGTCCGCCTCCGCCTATAATCGTCTCGTGGCGAAGGGTCACGGGAGTTGGACCGAGCAAACGTAGTTCTCTTGCGGCCGTCCTCCAAGGGTTTACCAGGTCGAGACCTGGCCGTCACCTCGGATTCCTCGGCATGGTCGTCCGACAAGCGATCAATTGCCGCGCTGTTGTAGACCCGGTCGACTTTCCGATCGCGAACGTAGGCGGTCTCCGGAATCAGTGACAGCGAAGGTGGTGGTGGCGGACGGAAGGTCTGCCGGCTGCGAACGTATGCCTCGTAGCCCTCAGCTCTCTCCAGCAACTCCTCCAGAGTACAAAAATCGGCACGACGTATAGTTAATTTGTACTCCGGGCGCATGTTGCGGTAGATGAGGTCAAGTTTGCCTTGCTCCGAGAACGTACCGCTCCTCCGAATCAGCGTTGAGAGCGCGACGACGTAGTCCCGAATGGATTCGCGCTCGCCTTGTGTCCGTCGCCTTACCTCGTCGTCTAGGTCCTGATGGTACAACGGAGGTAGAAATTGATCCTCGAACTGGCGTTTAAAATCTCCGTACGAGCGCCAACTACCGCGGCAGTTACGGTGCCAAAGCAAAGCCAGGCCGTGAAGAAGTTCCGGCAGCGCCTTCGTCACTTCGTTGAGGTCGATCGAGTAGGCTTCCGCCAACTCCTCCAGACGTTCTAGAAACGATACCGGGTCCTTCTTGCCGTCAAACCGCAGATTCCACTTGCGAACCCGATTGCACAACGACGGCGTGTCGTCTCCCACTCTCGTCCCACCACACGGGTTAGGGTTGTCTGGACGTGAGGTTGAGAAGCCGGGTTGGAATCGTGACGTCCACGGGTCCTGGTTGGGCTGTGACCAGTGGTTTGTCCGGTCGCCGAAATCGTAACGAGACGTCTGGGTTTGCGACTGGAAGGCGTACGGTCGAGGCAGGGTCGTTTCGTAGGTCGTCGGGTAAGCTGTTGGCCGTTCGTTGGGTCTATCAAACGTAGTACGATAGTCGTGTTCCGCCAGTGGTCCGAAAAGTGTGTGACGTGACGCAATATCTTGACCAGGTGACGGGGCGTTAGCCGGCAGCTTCACCAACGTCGCGAGAGTTCGTCGAACGGACTCAGAATCGGCGTTTGGTGGGAGTCCCAGCATTTCTCGAACGCTGGCCATCTCCTGTTGCGTTGAAGGAGGTGCCAGCCACTGTGGTCGAAATTGTGTATCGTAGGCTGTAGAGGCAGTAGGCCCCGATACCGCGATCGCCGTCGGGTTCATCGGTTGACCGATGCTTCCCAACGGGTTCTTCCAATAATCGCAAAAACGTTTGCGGAGCTCGGCGACGCTACCCTCAGTATCTAGCTGATATTTTGTCATCTCAGCAATCAGGTGCTGTTTGCTCAGAGTATGAATCCAGCCGACGCGTGGGTCGTCCAACGGCGATTTCGGGATGCTCTCCATCGTCGAAGGTATTTGGGAGATCGTCGTCGTGGTCGTGGTCGTCGTTGACGTTTGAATTCCCACCGTGGATATCGTCACGTGGCCGATCGGTAGCGTATCGGGTCGGGCAATGGTCGTCGGGGTACTCGAAGTCGTTGATTTTGTTTCTCCAGTCATTTCGTCTAAATTTCAAAGTCCAAAACCGTGTTTTCAAGTCCAAATGTTCGGGCGCCAGAGATGGGACGCAAAATTCTAGGGGGGGAATAAACTAGTATTCACCAAGTCAGGCTAGGCCTACCCCTAGAACCGGCCACACTCAAATTTCTTCCCCGGAGTGCTCAGAAGGAGCCGAGAAAAATCCAGGGGTCGATACGAAGGTGTCACGGCTTTGACTGATCAATTTATTTAAAATTTAATCGAAGGCTCAGAGCTCTAGAAGCGCTCAGGAAATCCTGCAGACGCTCAGTAGGAGCTATTTCATCCTCACCTTCGCTAACGTGTTTTGGAGAATTTTGCCTAACTTTTAGAATGACTCTGTAGGGCCGACGAGTATTCAATCTTAAGCCAATGTGATATAAATACTCGTATTAAACTGTAAACTATCTGGCTAAAGACGGTGGTGGATAATAAAATCGAATCTAATGTAAAAAGCAATTCCTACAGAGTCGTCGGGGCCTAATTAATATAATTGGACGGATAATTTAACGTGAGTGGTTTAAAATAAATTTAATACTAATTTTTGTAGCTGATTATTCAACTCAGCCTGCTCCCAAGACTCGATTCTTTCACCCGCCAAAGACGGGGTTTAGAACTCAGACGACGAGTCTCGGGGTATTAAAACGTCGAATTAACTGGAGTAACTTAAGTAATAATTTAATCGTGAAACGAACCGAATTAACGTAATTTAATAGCCAATTGGTTTAAAAGAGCCGAAAAATATCCACCGCTAGTCACTGGCAGGCAGGAACTGGCGGGTTTTGTACGAGTCGGCAAGAACTAAGTTAATAAAATTTAGAAAATTATAATCGAACGTAAACGGATAAAATAAATGGCAGACGAGTATGCGTATGTTGGAAAAAGAATATTTAAAAGAAAGTAGGAAAGTCTGAAAACGTAGCTAACCTGAATCGATATCGTATGACGAAGTTACGTTGTGCGAAGAGGCTTCTCGTTAACGAGTCGACGGTCGAACAGCGAATAATTCTTGTCCGGCTCAAATCCCGATTTTCTCGGCCGCGGCTCAAGCGCTGCGGTGGCGATTTCGGAAACTAGCCAACAGCTGATCGGGGATTCGCCTGTTGAGCCGGTCTAGTTGTCGTCTGTCGTTGGTCAACAAACACCATTTTGAGGTTAAGTGATGTTGTAATCGGCGTTAAATATTCGTAAAATCGGTCGTTTTAACTTTATTATGTGAAACGGAGTGCTATTATGAATAAATATGTAGTTGTGGGTGTGTTCGTGTACTTCACTGTTATCAAAAGTAGGCCTACGTTCTTTGGCCCATAGCCCAAGCTAGGGCCAACACATAGGCCTAGGATTAGGATGTTGTGGATAAAAATCGGGTAAGTAATGGTGTTTGTTGACTAGCAATACGTTTTTAACCCCCTTAAAATTTGGTACCTCACAAATCAACATGAGGGATCAATTAATTACTAATTAGGCTGAAAGACTAACAATCAACTCAAATTGAAAATATTCGAAATTGTCATTAAACTAAATGTAGCATTAGTTTAAAACATTTGAACTTTTGCAGTCTTTTTAGATTCTTTGGTAATTTAAATTTTCACAACCCTGGTGTAGACCCAGTGAAATTCAATTCGTATCACTATTAAATGCAGAAGACTGCAATTGTGTCACTATTAGGTCCAGTAACCCACCATGTTGTAGTCGATGCCGTTTTGCAAGGTGTGTCTGCGAGGCTCCCGTCGTCTGTTGCTCGTCTTTTTGTGCGGTTGAGGCTGAGGTTCTGCTACGGCTGGCAACAAAGACAAATTTTTAGATATAAATGTTTGCTGTACTGGTGGGGTCTCAAACATGCTAACAATAATCAAACAAGTGGACCATTATTTCTTATTTATGTAAATAATCTTTGTGAAGGTGTATTCAATGGCAGACTAGTTGCGTTTGCTGACGATACTGCACTGTTTTACAGCAGTTCAAATCTAGAACAGCTTAGACTAGAAATGCGAGCTGATATAAAGATGCTAAGAGTGTGGTTCACAAAACACTTTATGGTCATGAGTCCTAAAACAAAGTATATAATATTCAATTTGTCTCGTAACCTTAGCTTTGCTGAGCCATTAAAATATCATTCGTTAAATTGTAAAATGGATATACAGTGCCAATGTGCGGACATTGAACAGGTAAATTCAATTAAATATCTAGGCTTAAATGTTGACTCGAAGATATCTTGGAAAATACATATTGAGGCAGTTAGACAAAAATTACTGAAATACATCCGGATATTTTATATGTTGAGGCCAATCTGTAGGAAAAATGTTTTGAAATCTATATATTATGCTCTGATAAGTTCGAAAATCGAGTATGGGATTGAGGTGTGGGGAGGAGCATATTACTCAAACCTTAAACCAATAATAACCATACAGAAGTATTTTGTCCGCATAATATCAAACAAAACAAAATTCGAACACTCTGAACAATTGTTTAAAGATTTACAAATTCTTACATTTAAAAATTTGTATATTTTTAAAGTTTTAAAAGCTTTCTTTGATAAAAGTGGGGAAGACCGGCACAATATAGGATCTCGGGCGTTGACCCTTCGAAGATGTTTCAATGTGTCAGTCCCTAAACCAAATTCAACAGCTTTTAAAAACTTTTATCTTTATCTTGCTCCAACTTTCTTTAATTACTTGCCAATTGATATAAAATCGTGTTTCAACAAAAGACGATTTTGTTATCTCACAAAAATGTTTCTATCCTCCAACGATTCTAATGCATATTATCGAAATTGTTGCCAAGTTTATCTATGACGTGTATCCATTTCCCAATTTATCATATTATTTTATTTCTATATTTTAATGATCAACATATTACTTCTAAACCACATAGTTTTTATACTCTAAATGCATCTAGTTAAACTCTCCCTTGTTATTTGTACAGTTTTTTCATATTTATCAGGTCTAAGGTATTTAGTCCTATTTTAACAATGAAGCTTAGTAATGTTATTTTTTTAGAATTGCTTTAGAGTGTAACATTTATTGGTGTCGGTGATCCCATCTTTTGAGCTGTTTTATATGTGTTTTTTCGTAATAGAACATCCCAAACAGGTCTTTGACCTAGGGATGAATTGTTTCATAGCTATAAATAAGTGTGTGAGTTAGTTAATCTAAGTTATTCTTAAGTACTCTGTGTAAAAGATTGTAAAAAAATATGAAACAATAAAGATTTTCTGATTTCTGATTTCTGAAGTACTTTAATACTTTCTTATAAATTGGGAACCATAAGAACGTAGATTTTTTAAGCCAAGTATTAATGGAGATGAGGTTAGGATGAGTGGCGCGATCTTGTAATCTTGTTAGTGACTAAGGTCGACATGTTCCTTAGACACAGCTGTTAATATTAATAGCCCATACAGCCAATGCCAACTTAGGGACCTACAGTTTATAGTGGAATCTGAACCACATTTTGCTTTGAAATTAACGAATTGGTCTAATTATCAGGATAGTACTGCGGATCGTCGTAGTACTCACTAGTGCAGACGTTAATCCACACCAGGGAGTATCGCATCCACAATGCATGCCTATAAATGTCCACAATTCCTCCTAGTAGCTGGATTTACAGGACAACACCACCGTCCCAGTCTATATAAGTAGTTATATATAAGTAGGCATCCCATCCATATAAATCACCTGTTGCCAATTATTTATTCAAATAGAATATATTTAGGAGAGTAGGATGTCTACTTCTATTAATTGCCAAAGCTAGAATCTATTGTAAAACTTCACTTTCTGCACCACCCATTGTGTCTCAAGTGCAACCAAAACAGTTCATAGAAACAATAAACTATCAGCCACAACTTAAAGGCAAAATTAAATTAGCTTAGATATTATTGAAGATAGTATTATGTATGTTAGTTGTCCTGTCTTTTCCAGTTGTTTATGCAACAGTAGGCCTGTTACAGGAAAAGTTTTATTTACACTAAAGGACTAGAGGGATCAGGGTCCTTACAATGCATAATCAATCATAAAAACCCTGTTAGAAATGCAAAAAATTTCAGGTTAAGTGTAAGAAATGGCCATTACGTTTGTAACTTTTCTACCTAAGGTAACAAATTTCTCACTTCGTTTAATTTCTTCTTTCAAGTTTATTTAGTTTCAAAACTTGTCATTAACAGTCAGAGAATGACCGAGTCAAACCACTCACCTGCAGGTTTACCATCTCCAACACTGCGTCTGGTGTCACCCATCAGTAGGCCGAGCTGCCAGTTGTGCAGTGCTGAGCGTATCTCTGCCTTGTCCTTGACGGGAGCAGGGAGCGGGGCCAGGCCGGCGCCAGTGCGAGGGGGCTTGGGAGGTCCGTATAGTGGCGCTACTGGCTTGACCCCCCCACCACCACCTCCACCGTCACCAGGCAACTGAGGCATACTTAGCGTCCTCTGTTGAGGCATCGCATTGTTGGGCCGAACCTGTGGAGAGAACTATTGATCACGGTTTCAATATTTATCACTAAACTTAGAGGGGTTTTGGGTCTTGAATTTTTTTTATAATAAGGCCTAGTGGAATTGTATTATATGCCTTAAACTGACAGAACTGATCAAAGACTCAAGCCTATTTGAGTAAAAAGCTTTAGCCAGGTATGATGTATCTCATGACAATGTTGGCTAAGTTTAACTTACACATTCCACTTCTTGCTCCCTTTAAGAGCCTTGCTTTGTGCTCAAGTAGAGCCCGACGTACACTTAAAAAAATCACCTTAAGGTATTAGTGATGGGTCAAACTAAATTTGTTAAATCAAATTTTTTTAAGATGGAAGCATTACAGACCCTTTATCAATCATAATTAACAACCTAAATACCAGAAACTGGTAAAAATCAAAACAAAGAGTGCTCTGAAAAATCAAACAACTAATGATGTGGATTTAAAGATAGGTTGATTGGACCCCCACTACCGGTAGTAGTTAAGTTTAAATAAGGTTTCACTCCACCACCAAGCTATAATCAACAGGACAAGAGGCAGACTTATACAGTCTCACTGTGCTAATCTTACTAGCCATTAAGGATATTGACAGGTATGGTACAAGGTAATAGGTAGAGGTTCACTTAGTATATTTGGTAAGCCTATCATAAGGCCTATTCGACTTCAAACTACATTTAATTATTGGCCGTTTGATAATAACTTCTGGTTACCGTTGCTGTGTTGGAGGAGTTCCACTGCGGCTTGTCAGTGTCCAAGATAGGAGCAGATGGAGGTCTGGCAGGTTGGATTGGCTGTGTGTCGCTGTTCTGTCTGTTTTGTCTGCTCTCCACTTGGTTGCGCAAAAGGCAAATCTTGAGCCCAGCGCAAAATCTCTCGAATGACAGTAGGCCGTTTGGTGGTGTCACCTTCCTTAGACTCTCAATCACTCCTTTTGGCAAACCTTTCGTCCCATCATCCTGCCAGCGTCTTTCGATTTCTAAAAGCGCAGTCATTACTAAATCATTCTTTGAAACATCTACCGTTAAGTACTTTTAGGTGAAACGTGATACACAGTGTTAAGAGACCGAGTGATTATGCTGTTTGGCTACTTCATACAATCTGAGGAGAACACACTGCAAACGCTAAATTTTGCAATGATTGTCAATGGAAGGTTATTGTATGCAGGGAAGACACTTATTGAAAGCGTAAAAACTACCTCATAGGGCAACACAAAATGGTATTACGATACTAATGTTTAGAGTAGGTACTTGTTAAGACCCCTACATATGAGAATAAACCATATGCTTGAATTTAATCTTCAGGTAATCACTTAGGTTTTATATCTAGCTTTAGTTTAATTAATTACAGCTACGGTAATGAAAAAATTTAGTCCACTTTATCAAGTGTAGTAGGTAGGTAACATTAATGTGTAAATAAACTCATTCAAAACAAAACAATTCTTAGCTACAGTACCCTACCTGAAAATTTAACAAAACCAGCTCCTTTGTCATCCATAATGTCAAACAATGTACGAAGAGCCCCAACAAATGGTTTTGGGAGGCCGTCCAATGTGGCCGACTGTGGCAGGGGAGGAGACATAGCTGCCTCTCTTAATGTCTCCTAAAAACATATTATACTCATAGCATAGCAATTAATATAGGACCGGTTCGTAAGTAAACACACATGGCTCATTTAATTAAAAAACAACTTGGATTATTGAGCTGTCAGTAGCTTATACTGCGGATTTTAATTGGTTGGATAAACCTTTTGAAAAAAATCTAGGCTAGCCTACTTAGAAAATCTCATCTGGATTCATTCCCATTTTTGTCATCCGGTAGGGCCTACTCTTAATGTTTCTTAACCCTCCGAGGGTCACGCGTCAAAAAATAGACGCACAACACACTTTGTGTAGGGTCACGCGTCTAGTTTAAGACGCACAAACATCGTTTACGGCGAAGGCTCTATGACTGACTGAATCGGATTGAACTGGATCGAGTTAGGTATCGTTCTTTTCATTAGATTCTAAGCTTTCTAAAGGTCTGTCTCTAAGCGCTGTTTGTTCTCTGAGCCGATCGTAATTGTTAGCAGACAGCTGACGTGCATATTAGTAAACAGGTTACTTAACCTCGGACCGATGACTGATGTGTTTTATTATGTTTATCATTGTTTTAGTGTTAAAAATCAAAAGTAGTGATATACGTGGTGCATTATAAGAAGATTTAAGTGGTTTTGAAGTGCTGGTTGATGATCCTGAAGAAGTAGGTAGTGATATTGATGTAAATTATCAGCCAGATTCCTAGCTATGGTTAGGCTATGCATTCTTAGCTAAACGCTATGTACTGAAATCCGTTTTTCGCTCATAACTTATTTATTTGATAACTTACCTCGCTATATGATTATATATTTGTAATCCTCATTAAATTTAGAACAAAGTGGCTATTTTCAAATATTTATAGGCCTATAATTTATACAATTTCATTGAGCGTGAACTTATTTTTTTTTTTAAATTTTCGAAATTATATTTTTTTTACCTAAAAATTTTTTTTTGAAAAAATGTTCCTTATGTTTTATATATAATATTGAAGCCCATGATTTTCCAAAAAAAAGGTATATAGAAAATTAGAATTAACATTGTTTTAAGCTTCTCAGATCCGTTTTAATAAAACCTTGCAAAGGGGCCAAAACTAGGTGGACATTAAGGCCTAAACTATGGACCTTTGGAGGGTTAAAAACACTTTGTTGAAGAAAATTCTAAATAATTTAGCAACACACACTTGGGTGCTTATTTTAAGCCAAATGAATGCAAAGTGCCTGTTTAGCTTTGATGATCTGTCCAGATGTGTTACTGCTTAGGATCAGCGCTAAAGCCTAACTAACTTCAAAGTCAGAATAACTTATATAAAACCTTGAGTATCAAGGAAAGCTGGGCCTAATTTGGTACCGTACTTGTTTGACTTAAACACGTTCATACTTTATTCCATTATCTAAGTAGGCTACAGAGTAGGCTAAGAGCACACAAAAACTCACTGACCTATTGAATAGGCTACTGTATGTCCATGGAAGAAGCTAAGACCTTGCAAGAATAAGATGTTTGAAGGGTGCATGAGCTTTCAATCTTATATGTTTATTTAAATAAAGTAAGTTATTAACCGAATTTTAAATCAATTTCCTATATTTTCAGGACTAACTTTAAAATAAACATTTAAAATTGACAAGCAGTAGGCCTAGCTTAAATTGGAATCCAATCAAAGTTTAAGAAACTGTGTCAAAAAATATAGGCCAAATTTGTACATATATTGTCAGGTTGAATTTATGTAAGTTAATTATTTATCACATAATTACCTTGGACATAAATGACCCCTTTCACTTATGACATAATAAGTTTGGAATTTACTTTGACCAGGTTGGCCAAGTACCTCACATCACATAGCACAATACACACACACAACATACAAGAAAGAAAAGAACACAAGAATCAAAAACAACCACAGCACAGCAGCAGAACAGGTTTTGAACGGACGAAGAAACGAAAGACTGAAAGAGAACAATGAGTATCAAAGGCCAGAGAATGATGAATCATATGAGATAGACATTTTATCTCAACGACCTTTAAAAGAGGTATGCTGTTACTATATACAGTTATTTGATTTGATTTTATTTCCTCTGTGATGCAGTTTTCCTGCAGCGTATCCATCTAAACCTTTCTGATTTATGATCTCCGGTGTATAGTGCATTAGTATCCAAACATTAAATACAAAAACATGCAAAAAAGCATGTTGTCTCTATTTTCAAGCAACTTCAATCGGAAAACTTCTTCACATGTTCAAATTAAATTTCGAGAATGTTAAGGACTATATCAAAATCGCTATAGGCCTACAGTATTTTAGCTGAGCGAGATCGATCGACCTACGACTTTGAAGGGATCGGGAAGAGAAGGTCCAGGTGGGGGGTTGGTCACGAACTCGGCCGCCTTTAACTCCAGGCCGCGGCCCGGTAGAATTGGCAACGTTGCAAGTAGTGTTGTCTAGCGCCAGATGTCCCATAAGATAACATGGCAGACAGGTGACACCACTCATTAATTCACGTATTATTATTCATTTAAGTTTAAATTTATGAAATTTATTAAAATATTGAAAATAAAACATATAGAATTGAAAACCAAAACAGTATTTAAATTGCAAATCTATTTTTGTACATTTTAATTGGATTCAATATTCCAGTAACCAAGCTTTTATATTATTTTTTACACAAATACCATTAGCTGCCTCCAAAACGAAACAGCTGTTACAACCACGGCCGCCTTTAACTCAAGGTCGCGGCCTTCGAAGTGGCAACGTCGCAAGTAGGATTGTAACAGCTGTTTTGTTTGGTAGCAGCTAATGGTATTTGTTTATTTACAAAAGCTTGGTTACTGGACTATGACAATATTGTCTCCGCTATAAATTGTCAGATATAGATTTTCAATTCATATTGTTTTGGTTTTCAATTCTGTATGTTTTATTTACAATATTTTAACAAATTTATGTTCATAAATTTAAATTCAAATCAATAAAATGAGAATTAATCAGCTGATGTCACCTGTCTGCCATGTTATCTTATGGGACGTCTGACACTAAACAACCCTACTTGCGACGTTGCCAATTCTACCAGGCTGCGGCCTGGAGTTAATGGTGGCCGTGATACAACCCTACTTGCGATGTTGCCACTTCGAAGGCCGAGACCAGGAGTTTAAGGCGGCCGTGGTTTTGGAAGTCTTCCGCTGAGAAAAAATAGCAAATTGATATAATTATTTAGGCCATTACAATTTTACTTGTTCAAACATCTTCCTTATTTCTATTATATAGACATGGTCTAATTTCTTCCGACAGAAGCAATGAGATATTTTTACTAATTTGATTTGCCATACTTGGAATTAAATGTTAGTGTTAGTGGGAACTTTGAAGTTACAGTATTTCGGTATTTTTTCATTCGAAACAATTTTATTGCTTTCAAGAGCCGTTTCGAAATACTGCTTAATTTATAGCGTACCCTGTAAATGAATACGTAGGTACCAAACCAGTGGCGGAACAGATTTTCACAGGCCCCCCTGCAAACTTATTTTTGGGCCCCACTCATGAGTTATTTTTAGACCACCGATACAACATAATCAAACGCCCTCCCCCCAAGAGTTATTTTTCGATAAACTTGACTTTACGTTCGATAAACTTTTTATTGACGTTATAAAAAGCTAAATTTGTTACCTTAGTTCCTTATCACTGAATAGGCCTTACAAAATTTAACGACGACAACATATTATTAATAACATTAATGTTATTACTTGTCAATACTATTAGTAAATGATTGATAATACATTTCAATAAGAATGAACTCCAATTTTTTTCGGCCCCACTCTTCACGCGGGCCTCTCTTCTCGCCGGTTTCCGCTAGCCGTTTCGCGGGTCCCTCTGGATTCCGTCTCCCGAGCGCCGAGTCTCCCGAGCGCCGCGTCTCTCCAGCGCCGAACGGGTTACCTGACATAATCTGACAGTTTTGACAGTCGAATTGGAATTCACAAAAGCAACGGACCACAGTAAAGTCGTGTGTCCAATTGAGCATTGTAGTAGGTGGGTAGGCCTAGATCAGCAGTCAATATTTAATTTATATTACTAGAATGATTTGGTTCAACTACAGACAATAGACCATTATTTTTTGTATTTGGGTATACTTTATCTATGGTTTAACATTACAAATCAAGTCCAGTAATATAAAAAGTGGCCTTCTGGCTTTTTTTATTTAATCACTTTTACATAAACAAAATTATGAACAACTAATGTTGAAAAATGAATACACACTTTACTACAGATCAAATCACTTAGACTGACATGTGAAAGAGGCGAGGACCTAATAAATTTGTCGTTGATAAAATATGAAAATAGAAACAAAATACCCGAACCAATAATTTGAATAAACTATGCAATAGGCCTAATTTGATTTTTTAATCCAAATTCCAATTGCATTTTTTTAATCTTCCTATTTTATAAGTGAAAAATTAGTTAGGTCCTCTCTAGGTCACCTCTCTCACTAGTATTTTAATGTTACTAGATCTGTGCCAAAAAAACTAACTCACTATTTATTATAATACCTTTAGCATGAACTTAAAACATTGAAATCCTTTTAAAGCAAAACTACAACCCGTTATAATTTGGTAACCATATTGCACATGCAATTATTGCATGCTAAGTTTAGAGCTGGCATTGTTATAAATTTTTTTTTAAATCATATATTTCCAAGAACCTTTAATTAAACTAAACTCTGCATATCAGATGAAAAGTAAAAATCTGTTTGCCTTCTACATTTTATAGACTCATATTTATTTGTATGATGGCATTGGTCATTACAGTAATATAGTCAATGATGAACTTGGAAATTAAAACACTGCCACAATTCAATTAAGCTCGATGCTAAATGAGAATAATAATACTAGGCTGGAAACTAAATAATAAATTCAGTTTCTTTAAATGTTTGTGTTTTCTCCGTTATATTGATCTCATGAGAACTTTACTACATTACACTATTATCAAATTTACTGCGATCCGCACATCACCGGCGGCTTCATCCGGCACACACGTATGCTGTACTACATACGTAGTATATCATCGAAGTACATAGTATATCGTAGTATTCGTTTGGTAGAGTCATCGAAGTATATTAACACGTATACCTCGATGGCTGTACAGTACTTCACTTCTCACTTCTTCATGTTGAATCACAAGTTTCCCCTTGCACCCTCTTTTTTCTTTCACACACAACACTACCGTCCTTGTTGCACATCTGTTTTCTGTATGAGTACCCACCCATAACTAAACATGAGTTACCTTAGGTTTCAGCTAGTTCCATTGCAACTTGTCACTGAACCTGTTAACACAAACTTTCCACCCCAAATGCCAAATTTTTAATTTTATCGCCCTGTTTGAGGGGTGGGGGGCCTCCCCAAACAAGTGTTTGGGATTTTTGATCCAACCACATTCCATGCGCCATTGCACCCCTGAGTTGTACTAAAGCCAGTTTCAATGTGTTTTGTCCTTTAAATAATACAATTATTACAACCTCGCAACAGCTGTAAAGAAGGTATACAATATGATGAAAATAGAAATGAATAATATCAAACTATGTCCGTGCACTAATGAAACTGTTCTCATACCTAGTGAAATTGTATTTTGAGTTTAATGAAATTATTATGATAAATATTGACTGCTTCACAGATTAAACTCATTGTAACCGGCATATTAAAACATATTAACCCTCGTCACTTCTACATCACTGAGCAGACCCTTTGGTAATTTATGGCTTCGGCGCTCGGTATACTCTTTTGCTTTCGGCGCTCGGGAGACTCGGCGCTCGGGAGACTCGGCGCTCGGGAGACGCAACGGTCCCGCCGGTCCCGCTGACCCTGCCCCCCCCCCCACCTCATTACTGGCCCTTCTGTTAGACCACTGTACCGAACCGGTAACCATATTATCCAGGTTGTAAAAGGGGGTTATAAACTATTATAGACCTACATATTTGTAATCTCTAAAAATACCTATTTCTTTTTTTAGTTTTTGTATTTTTTTTGCACATGCAACAACTTAGCCACAGCCACAGTAAAAATGTTCTTGGTCTTTGGCAATGAAATTTTAGTGCATGTGATGTGTTTTCACTATTGGATTTTTTTTACTTTTAAGTGTAAGGATCCTAGTCGTGTTAAAGTAACATTCATAACACACACTGTGGTGTTTTTCATGTTTTATTGTCTTATTTTTGTCAAACTTTAATTAGTTAGGATTATGAATTGAGCTGAGCTCAATGGCAAAATACTTTCGGGTCCTGAATCAACCCCTGTAGTTACTGAACCTTTATTAGATTTGAAGGCGGATCCCTAACCAGTTTGCTCCCCAGACAACATTTGTCACAACTGACGATAATCATTACGTTAAAAAAACTGTGGATATCCACAAAGACGGTTATGGCTATATAGCATATGCAAGAGGTTGAAATATCTTAATTTGAACATCGTCAAAATTGTGGAATGCACATTATAACATTATTCGTCTAGCAAGTGGAACAAGCACCGTTATCTGGGCCGAGCCTTCTCTGTGAATATTTTACGTTAAAATGGAGGTTATTGTTTGATTAATTACAGTTAATGTGGGACCTTCACACACTGTGAGAATCTCTTTGTCTGTGAGTCTGTTGATGGTAATTCACCAGCGTGTGCTGAGTCTACAAAACAAACAATCTTAGCTACATAATGTTTAATGGTGACTTTGAATACTTCAAATACGCTTGTAAAATCTGAATCATAGATTAAATACACACACTACTGTACCAGCTCACACTTGCTTGTTAAAAGAGGCTACCAATCTCTTCTTTTGATTTGACATACTTAAAACGATTTCCTATTTAAAGAAATAAGTGATTGA